TTGATTAACCATTGCATAGTTGAACGTACAATGACATTCTGATTCTATGTTCAACTACCAAAGTTGAAAGTTTAACCTGAACGAACTTAAAAATTGAATTGTATGTATGTAACTCAGATGCATCTTATTAGTTATTTCTTTAACCAAAGCTTGGTTGAATGTAGAAATAATGAAATAAATCACAGTTCTGTGTCTACTTCAAGTTAAATGTAGAACTTTTCGTATTTCAAAGTTGAAGGCCATAGGGTATAACTTAAGATTTATCTTGTTAGTTCAGTGAAGAGCAACATGAAATCTATGTATACCCATTTAAAATTCAAAGTTGAACTAAATATATGTTTAATTTAGAATTTAGACTTCCAGTTTAAACCCAAGTTATTTAGGTTCACTTTGGTACTAAGAGTTCATATGATAAAACTAAATGGTGGCCATAAATATGGTCACAGTAAAAAAAAGTCACAAAATTTTAATACCCAAATAAAATGTAAAGTTATACAACAGAAAACATTTTAAAGTTAGTTATTTATTGCGATAATAACATGCTGTACGATATGTAACATTATATGAAAAGTAAATGGCATATGCACATTAATAACACAACTTACATAACTGTTGTACAAGGATATATATATATATATATATAAAAGGAAAAAGCTACTTGTCTGACTTACCAATAGTTGAAAAACACGACTTTACATCTGACCTGAGGAGTGTGGTGCCTTACGTGACCTCACACGAGATCAGTCTGGATTATGATCCTCGATGTCTCCTCATACATTTCGTACATTATATATTGAATTTACTAACACATCATCTAATCTAAGCATTTCTTCATTACATTTCATAATGTCATGCTTCTTGATAAAAGTGCACTCTACAAACAGTCTGTTAACTTGACAAGTATATCTATATATAATGCAGAGTCAAGAGCACTTTTATGCCTGAATATAAGATCAGTAATCACATGAATGAGTGGAATAATTCAGTAATTTAACTTCTTAGAACTTAGAAATTATAAACAAATTTTCAAATTGTGATTTTTTTCCAGTGATTTTTTTCATACTAAGTACTATTTAGTATCAAACTTTAATGTTTTCTCATTACTGTTTAGTTTCAGTAAATACTAAACAAAAGTTTACTATGATTTTAGCAATGTTCAAACCATGAATGTGTGTGAACTGAGGAAATAAAACTTATTCAACATTTCAAGACAATCCTCTTAATCTTATTAAAAGTTAAATATTGATCTTTCTGTCCTTCTCCTATGTGCATTATTCATTAATGGTTTATTGTCTGTAACTTATATTCATCTATAGTTTACATTTACAAAATTAATGTTAGTTTTTTCTGCAATTTAATAATAACACGAAAGTTTATCTGGCTAATTTCAGCTAATACTTACTGCAAGTGAAATTTTATCTGAATATTTTCTTAAGTAAAGAAATTTATCTGTAAAACTGGTAATAATCAAAAGCGTTGCAAAATAATGAGTGACTTTGCTCAGTTATTCACAGATGTATAGCATAAGCCTTGTCCTACAATGCCCATTTTTTTCCGGACACAATCATTAATCTCAAGTACTAGGTATCATTAAATTTGGTTAACCTATACAAATAACTGAAACCTGCTAACTAAACTTAAAGACTGAATTGTGGTTAGTTATATTTATTCTTTTCATATATTGTAAATATTATTATATGAAACACAACTGCAAAGCATTTACTTAATTTTTGTCTAACAAAAAAGAACAAGACATGCCTGCCACTTTTAATTTATAGTATATTTATTATTGACATAAAGTAAACCTTTGAATTTAAGTTCCACTATTCAATCACAACACAGCTGAATGTGTTCTATCATATTTTTTCTACTGAAATAAAACTAAAATAACTAGTAAACATTGCATGAGAGTACACACTCATGCACCTACAATGTTTTATATGCACTTTTCAGATTAGAACAGTAAAATGTGGTTTTCTTACAAGGTTTAATTTGAACAAAATATTATTTTTTAACACAAGAATAAGACATGAGACACAGATATAATCTTACAACCTAATATTTATCACTTGCCATGCTTAAGTACTGGACAACATGGGACCTATTGGTCAATCTTGGCTGTTCCATCCTCTAAAGTAAACTAAAATAATTAATAATTAAATAAATAAACGTAAAAGCCAGCCCTTATCATTCATATACTTATAAAGTGTTCTCTTAAACTCACTTACATTTACTGCCTCCACAACATCTGAAGCCAACCACTCTCTTAGAAAAATAGAACTCAAAATGTCTCCTACCCTGCCAAAAATTATATTTGTGTCCCCACCATTACAGACTATACTGTATATAAGTCAGGGTTCGAGTTATCTTCAGCTAAGACAGCTTTTATTTTTCTTAACAAGGTGGTTGGCATTTGAAAAGAATTGCCTTCAAATATGACTGATGTAGTTAATTTAAGAGAATTTGAAGCAAAGCTTCATAAATTTTTGAATGATAAGGGCTGGTTTTTATTTTTAATTTATTTACATCAATTACACAGATAAAGGAGTGGTTAATACATTACTTAAGTCTGCTAATGACATTAAAGTTTCAGTGTTATTGACAGTGAGGAAGAGGATGCTACCTTATGAAAGGAGTTGGATTATTTGGTGAATTGGATTAATAAATTGTAGATGACTTTTAATTATAATAAATGTAAGATAATCCATGTAAGATATAAAAGTTTGAATTATAAGTAGAATTTTGATGGGAATAATCTTAATAGTGAAATGGAAGAAAAATATTTTAGTGTTCTGATTCATACTGATTCAAATACTGAATACAAGTTTAAAGAAGTTATAATGAAAATGTATAGGTCATTAGTTTGGCAACATTCGGACTGTTGTGTTCAGTCTTGGGTTCCTTGCTTAAGAATTGTTGGATAGGGTTCAAGGGAAGCCTTGCAAGATGATATTTGAGATGGAAATGTTATCATATGAGGATAAGTTAAGATCTTTGAACTTGTCTTCTCTCAAAAATAGAGTTAGAGGGGATCTGATTGAGGTTGTTAAGGAAATTGATAATGTTGATGCATAATCTTTTTTACATATTTAATGGTGAAAATCATAAGTCTATGGGACACAAATATACATTTTGGCAGGAAAGACGTCATCTTCAGCTAAGACAGCTTCATTTTTCTAGCAGTGTGGTTGGCCTTTAGAATGAGTTGCCTTTAGATGTGGTTGATGCAGTTAACTTTAGGGAGTTTAAAGTAAAGTTTGATAAATATTTGAATGATGAGAGCTCACTTTGAGGTTTCTTTTTTTTAAAGATTTTTGTTTAATTTAATGGATGGGGCAGTTCAGATGGATCAAAAGGTCCCTTGCTGTCCTTTAATGTTATGTTATGGGTCACAAGAAGATGAGATCACTCACATGCCTGACAAAACGAATTGGTAAAGGGGTAGTGAAAAATTTACATGACTCTCAGGGAAGGCCCAGTATTTCAGTTTCAAAAACATATACCCTATTTATTAAAAGGCACTTCTTTACTACATATAAGACAAAAACAATGTTACCCCACTGTCTTACTTTCATTCACATTCAAATGTTCTGAAGACAATGTTGTAACATCGAAACATGTAGAGTCGTCAACTTTTTGAAGTCCATAGATAGGCCTAAATAAAATGTTTTTAATTGTGTACCAGTTTAATGTTGAATATTATTTATGATTTTAGTTTCAGTGTACTAACACTTTTCTGTTTGTCAGCTTCATTGAAGAATATATTTATTCAATCTTTGTTGATATTTTTTATTTATTTCTGAAGAAGGTGAATTTGAAACTAGTACAGTAATTTCTTCATATTACCTTAAAATGAATTCATTCGTATGATAAGTCACTTCCTTAGAAGCACTTATAACAGATATTTGGTATTCTAATACTGAACATAACCAGATAAACCATTTTTTAATAATACAGTGCTTTTGTTACAGTCCGAGTTCTGTTATAGTAGTATAGTCTTGTAAATCTTATTCCCCCTAAAACCACATTTCAGTATAGTTTTTCCACATCTATTGTTTATCGAGCTAAGGCAAAATGTTTCTGAGTTTCCAAAAAAATGCAGTTTAAGAGTGACCTTTCTAAGACTTATGGAAATAAGATCATTAACTTTCTATCACTATTATCTACTAAATCCAATGGATGGAGAAAAGTTAGTTATTTATTCATTACATATTTCAATGTTTGTATTTATTCCTTAATTTCACAAATTGTTTGTAGAAAAAAAAAAGTTCTCATTTCTACTGAATATATTTTTTGGAGGCGAAAAAATGTAGCAGAAAGTTCAAATAGTTTTTGTATATCACTTTACATATATGTGTAAACACACACATACAGAAATTAGACTTGGCATTAAATCACATTAAAAATTTTTAACAGCAGACTACATCGGGCCATACACAAGAACAGAATGTTATGTGAGATAGAAATATTAGATTTAAACAAATGACAATAATATAACAAAACTAAATAAAATAGTGAGAAGCTATTGTTGAAACTAAGGAAATATGAACACAGTTAATAAGAAGAGTTTTAAAAAAGTAAAATAAATAACTTGGACAATTCTTAAAAAAACATTAAAAGAAATAAATGAAAAATAAAACAATGTGTGTGTTTACTTAACATATAAAGAGATGAACTCTTTCCCAAAACCAAAAGGACTTATACAACCTAATTTAAAAATGTTTTTTTTAAATTCTGATTCTTTGGTTTCTGTTTGAGGAGGGGGGCATGTGATATGCCAATTATTTTAATATACTAAATGGAATGATCAGAAATACAACAATAAAAGGTATGAATTTTTTATATGAGCATATGTGTTAATAGAACCTGTATTTTTTATATATTTTGTAGATGAACTGAAATTTAAAATTTGAAGATATTTTTGGAATTAACTTTTTGTTGTCTTATGCTTAGACATAAGTAACAGCTTTTAATAACTTGTAAATGAGTCATGCCCTTACCATCTTGAATGGGTAAAGTATGGCCTTCTCCTAACAATGAAATAAAATAGCGTTTATAAATTCCTTTCTCTTTAGCCTTTTCCAACATTTCAGCACAACCATCCAAACTGTCTACATTCTCATAACCAAACTCCTTTATCTAAAAGAAAGTGACAGATCACCATATTATATTTACTACAACAGAATCAAAAATCCTCATGTTTTATTTGACACAAATTTCTATTATATATTATATTAGATGTAATAATATGTATTTTCCTTAATATTTTTTTTAACAAGACATTATTTCACAAAGTATAAGATTTGTACAAGTGATGTAGAGGACAGAGATACAAGATTAAAAAGGTATTCTAACAAATCTAACAGTTTAATACCTTTGAACACTGATAAGATAGAATGTTCATCTATGTTATAAATAGTGTAATAAGTGCATACAAGTTAATAAAAAATAAAAATGTATTTAAACAGGTAAATGGTTCTTCAAACTGTGAACAAAGTGATTTTGTGACTTTTTCTTAGTTATCCTTCAGATGCCTTCCAAATATACTTGTAAGATCTGTAACATCAATGACAATTTTATAGTGCTAAATTATGCCTACTGGTTACATGAAATTTCGTTTAGAATTGGAGTTCTTACTCATCATAATTTCAGTATTTTCCTCAAGAAAGAATTTGGTTCAAAGTATGAATGAAGTTATAGAGGAAATTTTCATAACAAACTAAACAACAGATATATGTTGATGATTCACAAAGTTAATTTCAAAGAAAATCAACCTTTAATAGACATAATTTTTTCAGATATTTCATTCGTATCTAAATACCTTTATATGTGCAAGTAAACAATGAAGCTTTCAAATAAAACTACTATAAGCTCTTAAAAATATTAGAAAACAAAGTTACTAAAATATTTTCATACTATTTTGGAGAAGAGCACAACAAGCAATGTTATGAAGAACAAAAGAGTTATACTACCAAGAGCAATTAATTACATAAACCATACTTTTTATTAATTTGCCCTTTATTTACATAAAATCATATTTTGTGAATAAAAAATGAGCATCCACATACCTCCATTCCAAGAAGTCCCGTTCCTGCCAGGACATCCAGTATTCGAGAATGTTTATCCAGTTGCAATTCCAGCAGTGCGTCTCTAGTGAAGTAATGACCCATATATCCCCATGAGAGAATGTTCTGTCAAAAGAGTAAAGTATCATAAATATAAGTCTCATTTAACTCTTCAGTATTTGATCAGTAGTCTAGCTAAAAATAAAATAAAAGTAGGTGATATCCTTTATGAAAATTATTACTCTACGTGATCATTATCTAAGAAAGTGCAAAAGCCATTCTAAAGTTATTGGTTATAGCAATGACCATTATGTATGTATTTCCTTTGGGAATATATATAGCTACTGTATAAATAGATTTACCTCTGCAATAAGCAAATTTCAATGTGTAGCCTTTCCTTATATAGTCAATGCCCATTCTCTTGGTAGGCTGTAGCTAGTTCTGTATTTATTCTAGAATTATTTTAAATGCAGGATGGCGCTTCATACTAGGATACATTTATGTTTAAAAATAAAATGTAGAGATTCCCATGAGGCTACATCCATTAAAACATATTCTCTCCACTGTCTAAACTGTGATGAAGATCATTCTGCCCATTATTTCTAATGTCTAGTTCATCTCAATATCTTAGCTTGTGGGCTAAAGACAATCTTTCTTCTCAGGAGGCATGTCTTCTCAATCATTCTTCTCCTCAACCATTTCTATTTTGATTCTAAAACACTCTTTCAGCCACACAGTTATTTTTGGAAAAATGTTACAGTTTCAATATAAAATTAATTGAAATCTACTGACAAACTGTTAAAAATAATTGGCAACAGCAGAACTGAGGCAATGAGTGGAGTTTAAACAGTTACAAGAAGCTCTGATTTGGAAAGATTATTGGTAAGTAAACTTTGATTGTGTCACATTCTAACAAAGTAAATTTGGATGTGTATTAGTCTTTTCGTAAACTGTAATATAACTTGATTGGATAATTTTGAGCGACAACACTAATTCACTAATTTTTAATAATTCATTAATTACTAACTGGAGTACCCGTCCCCTGTATCAAGTTATGTAAATTCATGATTAATGAAAGATTATCTTAGGATATGAAAAGTTGCTTCCCTTAAATGTAATTGTAAAAACGGGAAAATGCCCATAAAAACTGCAAAACACAAAATATGAAACCGCAAGTTTGCATGTTTCTCTGCATGCCAAAAAATCTTCATGCCAAATTTGGTGAAGATCCATCAACAGGAGGCAAAGTAGTGGTAAAAAACGCCCTTAGAAACAACAAAACTATAAATTTTATATGTATCTCCACATGGACCCAGTGAACCTTCATACAAAATTTGGTAAAAATCCATCCATAAAAAAACAAAATGCAAAACTGAATATCTTGATGCATTTATATTTATCTTCCTAAACCACTTAAAGAATACAGCATTCCTTTGTTCTGATTGTAGTCATACTATAAAGTCACAAGAAAGTGACAAGGCATTCACTCAGAGCGTTTTCAATTCTGTTGATTGACAACATATACTCAAAAATGCATTAATCAATGATCCGTTCGGCCATTTAATAGGTGTTAATGTTTCAAAGTCTCTAGAAAACATAGGAATAATACCTACAGTCGAAACGCGGGACATTTCTTCAGTATGTTCAATGACGATAAATTATACAGACTTCCATAGAGGACTGTACATTTCTTCGATAGCAAGGAGTGATCACTCGTGTTTTTATTCCTCTTAATTGTAGTTTGTATGTCAGAGGTATCACGACATTGTTGTCTTCAAAGTAATTCCTCGCCGTAAAATACGATGTTTATTTTTCAGGAATTTTGTTTATTTTCATCACCATGGTCTGTCTGAGATAAACTGTTTAATTTTACCTGTTCAACTGTTAGTAAGTTTTTAGAAAATTCTATAGTATTCAGGGCCACAACTACTGTTAAGTTGCCTTTTTTACGTAAAAAGGTCTAACCGTTGCTTGGTTGCATAGCTTTTTAATTCTGTTACATTAAACTTCTTTGTTTCCCTAATTTCTTCTTTTGCTATTGCTATTTTACAGGCTAATATATAAGCGCACTGTCATACAGATGGACATGCGCACGTCTCTTCAGGATACGAACAAACGACTTTGTTATTTAATCATTTCGTATTGAAACATTGCATTTGACTGATAATAGCTACTCGATCTTCGGAAATTAAAAATTTAGCTAAACCTTCTTGTGTTTCTGGTTCCTTGCCAATACCATCATTGTCGCCTTTATTTTTATTTATTTAATTTTTGCTACTTTAAAATGAATTTTCGCCGTTTTTAACTATTTTTGTAATTTTACCTGGGTTAATGCCGTCTCCAGGAAAAACATCATTTCCATTTTGTGAAATGATTGATCTACACGGTTACAAAATCTTCTCAGAATATCTTTGTAAAAAAATTCCAGAATTATATTCTCAAAAAATTTCTTCAACTCTGTTCTTTGTACTCTGTGAACAATTTATAAGGCTGTTGAAAGATTCAGCATTATTTATTGTAATACCAAATTTTGGAAAATACAAATTACGTAACTTTAGAAACCATACTCTTGAATTGTTTGTTATGGAATTTTCAAGATTTTTGTTGTGATACTCCAGAAATCCCTTGCTCCACTTAACTTTGAATGTAGTATATAGTTCTTCATATTCGTTAAACTTTCTATATCTAATAATTTGAAAACTTCATTTGGATATGCAAGCTTATCTTCTATTTTTCCATTATTTTGCATAAGCCAAAATTTTACATCTTCCGGGACGTGATTCCAACAATTATATATTACTTTCTCTCTTGCGGTTTCTTTACAATATTTTTGCACAAGCCAAAATCTTACATCTTTCAAGATGTGATTCCAACAGTTAAATATTGCTTTCTCTATCAGTTGCTATAGTACACGTTAGCTCATTGAGAACTGGGAAGAAAAGAAAAAGAATGTTTTAAAAAATGACGATGAGATATATATTTGTTTCTAATACTAGAGAAAAGCAATGTATATTACTATGTTTTCTATAATACCTACCGTTACTAAATAATCGCCAATACAGAATATAGTGTCACAACTTGCCCAGAACTTTTTATATGTCTATGATACAAAAACCATCTCTGAAAGTAACTCTGGTGAGCCAAATACAATAGCAAATTCTAGTGCGAATGTGAAAAACCATACGTAACTTTCTAAAAGAACAACTGTTTCTTAACTTGGGTAGACGTCACTATGTGATATTTTCTCTTTCTTTTATTCAATTTTCTCTGATTAATTACTTGTTTTGGATCTCGTGAATGGACAATTTTGGAATATCCCAACAGACTATTTTTAGACACCAGTTTACGATATATTTGTTTGGTTCACTTTACTTTATGGAATGTAAATTTGATGGCAAAGCATGTATGTGAAATCTTGCTGTGTGTCATAATTTCTACTTCTATGTGGAAAATAAGATACATTAGTTTCGTATTCGAGGTAATGAGGTGTTTGCACAGATAAATAATGGTATATCGTTTAGCATGATGATATTCGTTCATAATAATTGGAAGTTTTTTGTTTTTTTTATCCCTACACATCTCCAAGACGTTTAGTTGGATCACCAATCGTTCTTTTCGTGATCAACAACGTTCTGGGAAAGGTGGATCTGCACTTCTTGCAGATTTTCTGGTGCGGCATAGCGGCTCATAGAATGACTCTGAGTTTTTCTCTTTCGGTGGATGTATTTGATCACGCCAAAGATATCATAGATTAATTTACTCTAGTCCTGCCTAATCAATTTCAATTTGAGGGCAGGCTTGTAGAGATCTTGATGAGTAATAAAATGAAATCGGGTATACGCGCGCTCCACGCTTGGTATTGCTGGCGCACTAAAATAAAGCTAATAAAAAGGAAAAAAAGGTCTCACAGATTAATTTATTTTAATCCTGCCTAAAAGAATTTCAAGTGCCGGCTATTGAGAATTCTGTCTTGATTTTTGTTAAATTAACGAAAAGTAAATTATTATTTATAGTTTTGGAACTAGCCGTAGTTTAATTGTCCCTGTATGTCTTGTTTATTTTTCCTGTCTTTTGTTGGCTTTATAATGTTGCTTATATTAGGATTTAGTTTGTGTAATAAATTTCTTTTCCAACATATTGTTACTTCTCTGTTCGTTATTTAATTTTCCGTAAATTCGTTCCAACGAAACTTTAGCGACACAAGTCCTTTCTTAAAAAAAACTGGTTTATTCTTTCTGGTAAGTTGGTAGACACACACATGTAAGTTGGTTGACACACACGTGTAAGTTGGTTGACATACACATGTAAGTTGGTTGACACACACGTAAGATGGTTGACATACACATGTAAGATGGTTGACATACACATGTAAGTTGATTGACACACACATGTAAGTTGGTTGACATACACAGGTAAGTTGGTTGACATACACATGTAAGTTGATTGACACACACACATGTAAGTTGGTTGACATACACGTGTAAGTTGGTTGACATACACGTGTAAGTTGGTTGACACACACG